CCCTTTGACAGCCCCAGGGGTTTACAAGGTCCCATGCTCTTGCGGCAAAGTGTACATAAGAGAAACCGGGAGGAAGATTAGTACACGAATCAAAGAACACCAGCGATGTACCAAATACGGCCACTTCTCACAATCAGCTCTAGCCGAACACAAGATCGAGACCGGACACGCCGTCCAGTTCGACAAAGCCACCATGCTGGCCCCGTCCCAAAGCTATTTCGCACGGAAACACCGCGAAGGCATAGAAATCTTGAAACACCCTGACAATCTGAATCGCGACAAAGGCTATCAGGTGAGGCCGATATGGCACACCGCCCTCCCGGTTTTTTAAAAAACCGTCAGCCGGGATTGGCTGACTCCCCTCCCTCTGACTCCCCTCCGTCAGCCGGGATTGGCTGACTCCCCTCCCTCTGACCACGCCCCCCTGACTACCCCCTCCCTTCCCCCCAAGAACGAGTATAAAAGGACGAGCGCAACGCGAGGGAGCTCAGTATCAGAGTCTCCCAGCCCTGATGAAGCAGACTGCAACGCCTGCGAAACGTCGGCACCACACTGCAAACGGACGCGGCAACCATCCGGAAACCATGAAGACTAAATGTATTTATTCTACTAAACATGTATAAGAATATATTAAAGGCATATATACATGTACAGATGCATCATTTATTTTACATGTGAATAAACATGTACTTGTAATAATTACTATTCTATAATGTACAATAATACTATACAATAATTACTATTCTATAATGTACAATAATACTGTGAATACATTATAGAGGTATCTGGTAATGTCCCCATGGTAACGTGTTGGTCGAGTCAGGCATGACGTATCGTTTGCCGTCGTATAGACTCAGAGCGATTTTCGTCTCGGATATACTCGTAGTGTACACTTGATGCAGTTTAGATCGAGTACACGACTGCTGACGCGTCATCTCGATCTCGTCTCGCAGACAATGTGTGTAATCATCAAAAGATATTGTTCGCGCTACTACATACCTTTCGCCTTCTTCGTATCCTCCTTACCATTGATTCGCAACGCATACATTTTCGCTCTGAGTCCTACGAATTCCATCATGATCGCGCCATTGTTTTCGTCCTTCATTAGACCGGGCACTTTCTTATTTACACGCGGTATGCCATACGCGTTGTCAACCGGATAATCGCTCGTGTCGAATCTGTGTATATCGCGTTTCACAGTCTCATATACATCCTCGCACTTGACGTGGTATATGAGACTGTCGGTATCAGTATACAAGATTCTACACTTGTCACTGTACAGGGGCAGCATGTATTCATGGTGAAATTCATACAAGCAGATCTTGGATATGTCGAGGATGCACATACCCACGTAGATCGCTTGTTGAATTTCACTTCGAGTTTTCGCAATTCCACGGCGATTAAATTTTCTGAAAAAATGCTGCGACTATGAAAATTTGGTTTCGAAATCATCGCCTCCGCACCGTAACGACCATCCCACTTTGTTAGAAGTTTAACGTCGACATGATTCCGTACATTTTCCATTGTTTTGCCAAATACCGCGTTGTTCATTAATTTGTATAAATTTTTTTTCGAAATCGTTTGTCGCACGTGTTCTAAACTGAGTATTAAGCTCGATGTAATCGCGGAGCCATGGAGATTGCGAAAACTCCAATACACGGTGTATCTTTGTCACGCGAAGCCCATGACGCGTGCTCTGTTGCAGGTTGCGATAGTGTATGACGTAACGCTTCTTATCATACACTGTCGCGAGAAGTTTATCCTGCCGCTTGCCGGGTGGTTTATCGCGCGTTGGACAGAACGGTAGGTCAATGTGCGCGTCGTGAAGATGCTGCGGATATTCGAGATCGACCTCGAGAATGTAACCTGTCGATGAGTCCGCAGCGATTGCGCTCGCGTCGAAATTCGTAATATCTTCGATCCATCGAAAATTTGCATATGGTAGTGGTTGACACATCGCCCAACCATACAAATTATTAACATCAAAGTACATCAGGTACGAGGATGGTTTCGATGGATCGTAAGACTGCATGTACTTGTTATTGGCTCGAGCGTACCTGTTCGAGCACTGGCTCAAACCACCGCGTATACCGCGTTCCAAAAACATGACCATGTCGATGTCTGTGAGCAGCTCGAAATTTACGGGCGTGTGTTTCAGCATGGCGTCCCACGTGAAACCAGGCAAAGTATAATAATACGCTGGATCTAATCCATAACTGTTGATGCTATTATCGCGTAAATTTTCAAAAATGTCGGCCAATAACAAGACATCTATCTTCATATATAAATCGCTGTAGTCGCCTAAGGTTTGGATGGAGAACCGCTGCCAGACATTCTCGGCGCGCACGTAATCGCTCTCGGATACGGTGACTCCGGTCAAAGAACTGAAAAATGACTCGCGCGGAGGCGGAGGTAGACACGGGTCCTGCAACTTGTCCACGCAATCCACATATTCATAGGGAAATATACCTTTTCGTGTCAATAGATCGAAATCGTCGCTGGATAATGTTGAAAATTCAGATCGTACAATTTTTAATTTGTCTCTATGGAGAAACGATGCCAATCTATCGAGGCTGGTACTCAAAAATTTGTATGAGTCAATAAATCGCAGCTTTATGCAATTTTGTCGCTTTGAGTTTTCTATGGTACTTTTTACATTTTTTGTAAAGGAAATGTATGTCTCCTTCGTTATCGGTAATACATCAACTGTGCCCTCGAACGCGGTAGCGATTTCTTTAATTATGAAATGTGCATTATAGCGGGATAAATTATGAAAAATGATTGGAATGAAATACGCATCTTTGTAATTTAAGTTACAATTTGAATGTGCGGGGCCTCTATATTGTCCGGTTAGATGACAATGGTCGCGCACCCGAGTGTCGTCTGGCGCGAACGGTTTCTCGCATATGTGGCAGTGCGTGGTGCTATTAAATTTCTCATACTGTTCTTTCGAAAGTGTTTGCATGGGAGCATTACTCGACAGAATATTCTTTACACGATATGCTAATTCTTCTAGTTGGTCAGCGAACCATGCGATGCAATCCTTGTCACGACGAAACTGATATGTTGATAGCGAGTCGTCATATGAGCAGTGCAGGTAATAAGCGATACTAAATACTTCATGGTGCTGATATGTCTTCGGATCCGTGTCCATCTTTTTCAGGATACACTCCAAGTCGGCGTAGACGACAGACGGCACACGTTCCTTCCTACTGTGATTGTTAAAATTGAGCCACTTGTCCTCCTCGCTGGGTAATATGATCGCGCAGTCATTTATTTGTTGACAGTCCACGCTGTGGGCTTGCAACTTGACGTTGGAGCTAAAGTAGTGCAAACATCTGGAAAGACAAAAATTTTTTAATATACCAAAATATGTGAAAATATAAGCATTGTACGAAGAAATGTTCCAAAGAAATTCTAAATATTTTCGAGACAATTCTGCAAACGTTAGCCGCTTACT